TAAGTCTTTCCCAGCACTTGGGAAGCAGAGGCAGGCAGATCTCTGTGAGTCCAAGGTCAGTCTGGTGTACATATCAAGCTCCTGGCCAGCTGAGGCGACAGGGAATCTCTAAAAGACTGAAAATAATTAAATCTTAAAAACAAAAATAAATAAATAACTTGATCTACCTGCCATTTAGGGACTTGTTGCCATATTCCATCTCTACTCACAAGGTCCAGGAAGTCCTGCTGTAGATACTGCCACCCTGTGACATGCTGGTGTGGGGAGTTCCCAGGGAATATGCTTGGCGATCCAAAATTTGAAAATGGGGTATCATTTGAGGTCATAGCTGTAGACTTCACCTGGCAGGAGGGGAAGGACTTTCTATAGGGATGTGATGCTGGAGAACTACAGTAGTCTGATGTCCTTGGGGCACTGTATAACTAAACCTGGGTTATCTTCAAGTCGGAACATGGATTTGGGCTATGGAGGATGTATTAGTCACTTTTCTGTTGCTGTGATAGAAACACTGACCAAAGCAATTTATAGAAAGAAGAGTTTATTTGAGCTGAAGTTTCTAGGGGCATTACAGCCCATCATGGCAGGGAGGCATGGAGGTGGCTGGAGCAAGAGCAGCAGAAGTGAAGCTCTCACATCCTCATGCAGGCACAGGAAGCAGGAGAGCAACTGGAGATCTGGCAAGGCTTAAGAACTCTCTAAGCCTGTCCCCAGTGATGGGCTTCCTCTAGGATAGCCACACCTTCTAAGATCTCCCAAACAGCGCCATCATCTGGGGACAAAATGTCCAAATACTTGGAGCCTATGGGGGACATTTTCATTCAAACCACCAGAGAGGATATCAAAAGCCTCAATATAGAACCAGCCAGATGGTCATAAAGCGAGTGTCCCAAATCACTCAAAGCGAGTGATTTGAGACCTGCCAGGAAAATCAAGAGAAACGTTTGTGGTAAGTGGGAATCAGCAACAGCAGTACTTCAAATAAAGAGAAAATGAACAAATTGGCCTAAAAATTCTCTAGGAAGTCAGGCCCTGTTCCTCAGCCTTATTATACCCTTCACAGTGCAAAGCAAACAAATCCTTTAGGACAGGTATTCAAAAGGGCAGCTTGGCTCATGACACAATGGGTATATTTGGGACTGGATTATGTATTTGTTGTCTCCACCCTCAGCTACATTCAGGCACGTCTTTGCACAAAATTTCAGTTACCTTAAGATTCTTGCTTTGGTGGGAACCAGTCAGAGGGACTAGGCCTGGGCCACACTACCCACTTGCTGTTGTAGCCTGGGGCTCTGGGCTTGGCTAGATCTGGTGGGGAAGATGAAATCTGTAGGAAGTTTTGGCAACCCCATGAGCAGAAGCAGCAACAGCTGCTTTAGCAGCTGTTCCCATCCCAGGATGACAAGCCCCACCTTCCAAGGGCCTGTGAAGAGTTTGAAGATAATAATGTCATCTTTGTAATCTCTATCAATTGCATCATGGTCTGCTAGGGCTAGATCAAACCCATTGAAGACCCGAATCTGCCCCAGAGGAGGTGCTGAAATTCTACAGAAGCAGGACCATGGTACACATCCCCCATGAGGCCCAGCTGTAGGTGTGCTGATGTATGGAGACATCTACCCAGAACTGTTTATCCCTGAGTGCTACAGTAATGTGAGAGACCCAGGCAAGGGTCACTAGATGCCCATCCATCCACTACCACTGCAAGGAGGGCCACTTCATCACCATCTTCTCTCTACTGGACAGGGAGATCCCTTGGGTCTGGGTATGGCCTGTGAGGTCATTTGTTACTTTGGTGAACGTGTACATGTTCTCTTCAGCTTCACTGCCACCCTTGAATTGTCCCATCATTTTTGACTGGAACAATGTTATGTCATCTCCATACCCACTGACCTCTGAGGAGTACCCTTTGGGTGGTATTGATGCTCTGGGCCTTGGGTACAGCATCATGCTAATTGGCATCAGGTTGATCTGTGTAGATGGCAATTACTTATTCACTCTGTGTGCAGTGCCACCAAGGAGGACCAGTCTATGACTGAGAACCACCCCTTTGCTCATGACCTACAGGATTGGGTGACAAAGCTCCAATGACAGACAGCTTGGTGTACTGCTCAGTGGACAATGCTAATAAGACTAACCCATCTCAAGGCTAAGGTACTACCTGCCAAATTGTGGCTGGTGGATAAGGAGCAAGAGAAAACCTGGTGGAAATAATTGTGTAAAAAAGTAATGGAGGGGCTGGAGAGATGTCTCAGTGCTTAAGAGCACTTGCTATTCTTTCAGAGGACCCAGGTTTGGTTCCCAGAACCCACATGGCAGCTCATAATTAACAGTAACTCCAGTTCTGACACTCTAATGGCCTCCAAGGACACCAGGCATGCATGTAGGGTGCACATACGTACATGCTGACACACACATATACACATAAAATAAAAATTAATAAAATTTAAAAGACAAGGTGCCAGGCATGGTGGCACATACCCTTAATCCCAGCACTTGGGAGGCAGAGGCAGGTGGATCTCTGTGAGTTCAAGGCCAGCCTGGTCTACATAGCGAGTTCCAGGCTAGCTGGGGCTACGAGAAGACCCTGTCTCAAAAAGATTAAAAAACAAAACAAAACGAAGTCGATGGACATCTTTGAGTGGCTGAGTGGAAGCTGAAGCCCCATCTCAACCTTCTCCTCTCAGATGTGTGCCAGGAGATGCCTGTCAAGTTCTGCAAGCAGCATGAGTTCCTGGCCCAGTATCTGCATACCTACAGGGAGCACTAACCCCAGAATCACTTTGATAAGTGAAACAAACCCCAACAATTCAAATTTAAATCCTAACCGTAGTCTTGTCTTCATTACTCTTTCCCAGGTTTTAAAAGAGAAAATAAAGACTGAGAAAAGTTGAATAATTGTGGGAGGCAGGGATATGTATAATGATATATCATTTCATATATACGAAAATGTCAGGGCTAGAGAGATGGCTCAGCAGTTAAGAGCATCAGCTGCTCTTGAAGAGGACCTGGATCCGATTCCCACAAGGTGACTTACAACCATCTGAAACTCCAGTTCCAGGGGATCCGACACCCTCTTCTGACCTCTGTGGGAACTGTACAACACAGGTACATGGACCTACCTACATACAAGCAATACGCTCATACACATAAAGTAAATAAAATTTTAAAAAATGTCATAATGAAGCATTATTATGTATACTAACTAAAAATTAAAAGGTTGAGTAAACTCCAAAATCATGTAAGTAGAGGAGATGGTATTTCAATGTTCTTTGAGTGTGTGTACTCGTGTGTGGAGGCCAGAGGTCAACTTTGAGCAGAGTGGGTGGGCTGGAAGGATGCTGCTTCTCTTCTACCCATCTCTTCTAAACTGCTTAGCTGCCACGGTGGCAGCCTAGATGGGCACAGAATGGCTCCTACTCCCCATTCTTGCTCCTCCAAGCTGCTATGCTGGACGGGGCAGAGTTTACAGTGGTTGCTAAGGATCTATCACCCTTCACCTGTTACAGTGCCTTTTCCCAGGGACTGTGTCAGGGCCATGGAAGTCTTAACTGAGGCGGAGGTAAACTCTTGTAATTTCAACACTGAGGAGGTTGAATGATGCAGGAGGATCCCGAGTTTGAGACCAGCTTGGGCTGCATAGCAAGACATTATCTTAAATGATAATTCAAAAAAGGAATAATTTTCTTATTGCTATTATTTTCTAAAACATGTAAAGAACATTCAAGGACTGAGGAGAGGACACAGCTGGCAACATGCTTGCTGTGCAAACATGAGGCCCTGAGTTTAATTCCTAGCACCCATGGGTGTAGCAGTGAGCACCTGTAATCCCAGCACTGGGAAGATGGAGACAGGAGGGTCCCTGGGGCTTGTGGGCCTGCCAGTCTAGATGAATCATCGTGTTCCAGGTTAAGTGAGAGACCCTGTTTCAAAAAATAAGGCAGAGCCAGGTGTGGTCACACGTCTTTAATCCCAGCAATTGGGAGGCAGAGGTAGGCGGATCTCTGAGTTCAAGGCCTCTGGGTCTACATAATGAGTTCCAGGTCAGTTGGGGCTACAAGGAGACCCTGTCTTAAAAAGACCAAAACAAACAGACCTGAAAATGAGAAAAAAATTCAAGACAACATTTAGGATTTAAATATTCATTTATCTCTATTTTGTGTACGAGTATTCTGCGTGCATTGTGTGTAAGTGCACTCATGAGTGCAATGCCTGTACAGTCCAGAAGAGAGGGCAGCAGATCTCCTGAAACTGGAGTAAAGGCCTCCAGTGTATGTCCTCTTTAAGAGGTGTTCTTAACTGTTGAGCCATCTCTCCAGTTTCTGAAATTGGAATTTAAAATTAAAAAGCAAAACAACTTTCAGTCCGGGGCAGATTAGTGACTGGACAGAGCATGATTTGCAAATATATGTTGCTTGTAGGAGACTCTGATAGAATGAAAATTCCTATAAATTCAAGACACAATGGACAAACTTGGCAAGAATAATCTTAGGAACAGAATTAAAAGTTTTCTTCCCGTGAATTCGGGTAGGTCTAAGATGTGTGCCCTTGTATTGCTAACCAGTCTCCATACTTCATCTGGTACCAACTTTCTCAAGCCAGGAATTGTAACACACGCCTGAAAACCCTGCACTTGGGAGGTAGAGGCAGTTCAAAAGAGGATCAGTAGTTAAAAGTCATCTTCAGCTATATTGTGGGTTCAAGGGCAGACTGGGAGCCACGAAACCCTACCGGGAACCGAATATAAACAAAGCAAAGGAAACCAACTCAAAGAACGAAAACAAATAGAGGATTCTGGGTATTGTAGTAGGAGCAGGCAAAAGAACGCTTATGTGCAGAAGACTACATTTCCCCTAAAGCTGTCCCGTGCAGTAGGTTAGACTCTTTCTAAGCTTGCTATCTTTTTTTTTTTTTTTTTTTTTTTTTTTGGCTTTGTCCCGCCTCCTAACTTCCGGCATCGCTACGTTTTCAGAGGCCAATCAGAAGGCGCGGATTGTCGGTTCTCAGCGCTCTGATTGGTGCATTCGTCCGGGTCCCGGGGTTCAAAATTTCAACGGTGCTGTTGAGTTCCGAGGCGGGCTGGCGGCGCTTGCTTCTTGGAGGTAGGGCGCGGTGAGGCCAGGTAAGTGGTGGGACCGCCTCGGGGAGCAGCAGGGCTCCGGGCGCTGTTACCTCACGTTTCCAGAGGGTAGAGGCGCCTCCCCGCTCCCGGGTGGGCCTTCGAGCGGCCGCGGGACTCAGGCCGCGCTGGAGCGGGGGCTTCGGGCGTCGGTGAGAGGGCTTTGCGGTGCCGTCTCGGGAGACCATATTCGTGGGGTCAGGATCGGCTCCTGATAATGGTAACGACTACTGTTACTGCCGTGCTAAGGTATGTTGCAATACGTGTGTATGGGACGGGGCGTCCTGCGTGGGCTTTCTCAGTTTCCGCGCCAAGCTAGTGCCTTGGGTGTCCTTCTCCGCTCCACTTAGTCTGGAGAAATGGGTGAAGATAGCTCCACCGTCAAGAGGTGTGGCATTGGTGGAGAAAAGAGATACTACGACCGGCCTTTCCAGAGGATTGTCTAAGGGTGGTAAATTTGATGGCAGGACAACATAATTGAGGGAGAAAGGAATTTCACTGTGGCTTGTCTTCTGTTTGGGATTTAAAGTTCATTTGATGTTATCCTTATCTGCCTAGCCACCTCCCTGTGTATTAAGTCACTAGGCCTTCCAATTTCCATTCTTGGGCCATTTATAGATTGGAGGGGGGAAGGAGAACTGTGACCCAGATTTATAGCAAAAACTGCACCAAACCATTTCCCACAGAGAATATAGAGGGTTTTGTTTTCTTGTGGTCCTGGGGATGAAACTAAAGGTCTTGTATGCTACATGCCCAGCCCCTAGATTTCTAACTCCTTGAATTTGCTTTATCTCTTGATATACTTCCTAGTTCAGCCTTTCCTTGTGTCCTCACATCCTTTGCCTTTATTTGAATTTCCTTCATCAGGTGTTTAAAAACGCCCAAACTATTACAGAACTGTTTGCTGCTATAGTAAGAATGCTGTGTTGTGGGCTCAAGTGTTTCACCCCACCTGTCAACCAACCCCTTGCTTGGTTTAGGTGGTATATCTGTTCAGTAGTTATTAAGTTGTGGTTTAGGTGGTGTATCTGTTCAATAGTATTAAGTTGTTGTTTTTGGTTCAAAATTATTGTGGCTCCTGGCTAACTTAGTCAATTAATTGACCTTTGAGAGTACATTGTGTACTCAGGTTAGTTGGTGTCAAATACTGTGTATGTACAGATGTATGGTGTATTCAAGGGTTTTCTGGTATGCTTGGCGACAAACAGATTCTTTTGTTTGGGAATGCTTGCTCATGCTCGGGGGAGAGGCTGGGGCTCTATGTCATTTCTGTTTTATGATGATGATGATGATTGAGACAGGGCTCATGTAGCCCAGGTTGGCCTGAAACTATGTAGTTGGTTTGAGTTCCCTAATTGTCCTGCCTCCACCTCCAGAGTGTTGGGATTTAGAGGTATGCACCATCACACTGTTTATATGCATGTGCTAGGGATTGATTGAACCTAGGGCTTTGTGCATGCTAGGAAAGCACTTAACCAACTGAGTTACATCTCTAGGCCTTTTTTATTTTTAAACACCACCATGACCTGCTTTATTTTTAATTTTTAATTTTGGGTGTGTGTGCGCGTGCGTGCGTGCGTGTGTGTGTGTGTGTGTGTGTGTGTGTACATATGTACATGTGTGTCCGAGTGCCCATGGAAACCAATGGCATCAGATTCCCTGGAGCTGGAGTTAGAGGCTGTTGTGAGCCTCCCAACATGGATGCTACAAGCGTTCTTAACCCCTGAGCCATCGCTTTGGCTTCCTCCATTTTTATTTTTGAGGCAGACCCTTGATACTTTACCTAAGCAGGCCTTGAATTCACTCTGTAGCCCAGGTTGGCCTCAAATTCGTGATAGTCCTCTTGAGCTAGCCTCCTTGTGCTGAGATTGAAGCCTGGCAAATTGATTCAGATTGAGAAGTGATGAAGACAGCATCTGTTTTGTAAGGATGTAGAGGTGAAGGAGATGGAAGAGGTTTGTGAGGTGTGGGATACAGATATGACCGAGTTTGGCTAGACAGGGACTAGAAGACTGTGGTCTGTTTAATCGTCTGGATAAGAAGGTGCTCCTTAAGTTGACAGCAAAGGTGCAGGTATGAAAAACTGAATCATACTACATGTGTTTAAGATTTTCTATGATTTAAATCAGCATTATTTTGGCCACTTATGTGTAAATGTGTGCAGTAGAACCGTTATAAAATTAACTTGTAGTTGTAATTAGGTTTGCCCAGGAGAAAGGGATTATGTGGGAAATTCTTTCCTTTTTTTTTTTTTTTCATTTTTTATTTTATTTTATTTTTTTGAGACAGGATCTCACTATGTGGCTAACCTCAAACTCACAGAGATCCACCTGCTTCTACCTCCTGAGTGCTGGAATTAAAGACATACATTATTACACCCAGTCTAAAGATTTATTTATTTATTATTATTTTTGGTTTTGGTTTTTTTGAGACAGGGACTCACTGTGTAGCACTGGGTGTCCTGGATCTCCCTATCTAGACCAGGCTGACCTAGAACTCACAGAAGTGGGTCTACCTCTGCCTCCTGAGTGCTGAGATTAAAGGTATGCATTATTAGTCCTTTATTTCTTGTTTGGGTATCAGGAGAGATTGAGTTCTACATTTCCTGTATTTTTTTTCTTCCTTAAGCTTTTTCTGGGTCTGTTTCCTACAACGTGAGCTTACAGACCCAGCTTCTTCCCTAATTCCTATTTAATTAATTAACTTTTTAAACATTTGGGAGAAGAAAGAAGGGAGAGTTAAAGTCTTTTCACAAACATTATTAGTTTTTGCCATAGTAGCAGTTAAGAATCAGGAGTGATAATGGTGTGATTGACTAGTCTGGGTTATTATATAGATAGTTCTATATTTAAGACAGAGACATACAAATCAGCAGGTCCTTTGTGAGAAGAGGATAAAATTAAACATTAACAGAAAGGTATAAAATTATATATATGAGTCTACTTTAGAAATTTAAGAGATTTAGCAAAAGGAGATAGTAAAAATTCTTACTCATATTTTAAATGAGCCTTCTGTTTGTCCTGATGTTTGAATAACAGGTATATGCTGCAACCCCTGTCTTTTACTTATCTATCCTATGTTGCCTGTAGCAGACTATCTGATAAAAAAAAGTGAATTCTTATACATATTCAAGACAGATGTACAAACATAGGGAGGATAGAGTTTAAAAAAGTTTTAACTTGAGCCTTTTTTTTTTTTAATTGGTTTTTTGCTGCTTCCAGGTTCTTAATAAGAAGCACCTACCAGAGTGAAGATTTCAGAAGAGACTTGAAAAGATATATTGTAGTTTTGAGTCAAGGTTGTGGGAGGTGGAGTGTATAGACAAGGTAAGGCAAGGTAAGGCTGTGTTCACAGTGAGTTACATTAAAAGGAATTAGGGAAACAGTATATTAGCTTCATGAGTGTTTAAATAACTAATGTGTTTTTATAAGGTAATACATATTTTAGAAGGAAAATTTTTTTTTTTTTGGTCTTTTTGAGACAGGGTCTCCCTGTAGCCCCAGGTCCTGGAACTCACTATGTAGACCAGGCTGGCCTTGAACTCACAGAGATCCGCCTGCCTCTGCCTCCTGAGTGCTGGGATTAAAGGCATGTGCCACCACGCCTGGCTAGAAGGAAAATTTTAAATATGGAAAAGCAAAAGTAAAAATAAAATCAGCAACTATCCCACCTGGTAGAGAACATTTGTTGTTGTTTTATACTGGGGATTGAATCCAGAACTTCACATACCCTACCACTGTACTATACCTACAGCCCTTTTTTATTTTTATATTTATTTATTGATTGATTGATTGATTGATGATTGATTGATTGATTGATTGATTGATTAATTGAGACAGGGTCTCACTAAGTAACCCTGGCTGGACTGTAACTTGCTATGTACACCAGGCTGACCAGGAACTTAGAAAGATCTACCTGCTTCTGCCTCCTCAGTGCTATGATTAAAGGCTTGTACCACCACACCGAACCAGTATTTTTTGAGTCAGAGTCTCACTAAGTTGCCCAAACCGGCTTTGATCTTGTGATCCTCTTGGCTCAGCCTCCTCTGTAGCTGGAATTACAGGCCTGTGTTATCAGCCTTGATTGATTTTGTTTTTTTCTCTGCCTATATTTTATGTAAAAAAAAAAAAAAAAAAAAGATCTTACACTATCCAGGTATGGGAATCCCAGCACTTGTAAGGCTGAGGCAGGAGAATCAGGAGCTCTATATATTCAGTACAAGGCCAGTGTGGCCTGCATAGTGAGATACTATCTCAAAAAAGAAAGAAATCAGGCTGGATTTTATGGTCCATGCCTGTAATCCTAGCACTTGGGAAGTGGAGGCAGAAGGCTCAGGAGTTAGAGGTCATTTCCAGTTATTTAGTAAGTTTAGGGCCAGCTTGGGCTATATGGAACCCAGTCTCAAAAATACTAAGAGAGGGACTGGAGAGATGGCTCAGTGGCTAAGAGTACTTGCTGTTCCAGAGGACTCATGATCATTTCCTAGCTCTCACTTTGGGCAGTTCACAATTGCCTATAACTCCAGCTCCAAAGGATCCAACAGTCTAAATGTGGTATACACTTACACAGACACACATACATGTAAGTAAATAGAAAAATACATCTTAAAGTAAAAACTGGGCATGATGGTGCACACTTAATCCCAGCACTTGTGAGGCAGAGGCAAGCCTGGTCTACATAGTAAGTCCCAGGCCAGCTGGGGCTACAGGGAGACCCTGACTCAAAAAGACAAGAAAAAAAAAATACACTAAAACCCATCTTTTTTTGGGGGGGGGGGCTTTTGAGATGTTATTATTATTTTGAGCATTATGTCCACTGATACTGCTGGAGAAGTGTTTTTTTGTTTTTAGAAAAGATTTTATTTTATGTGTATGAGTGTTTGCCTACATGTATGTATGTGCACCACATGCATGCCTGGTGCCTGCAGAGGCCAGAAGGGCATGTCAGATCACCTGGTTTTATAAATAAATTTTTTTTTTGGTCTTTTTGAGACAGGGTCTCCCTGTAGCCCCAGCTGGCCTGGAACTCACTATGTAGACCAGGCTCTGGCCTTGAACTCACAGAGATCTGCCTGCCTCTGCTTCCTGAGTGCTGGGACTAAAGGTGTGTGCCACCATGCCTGGCCATAAATAAATATTTTAAAAGTACAATATGGGCCGGGCTTGGTAGTGCATATCTTTAATCCCAGCCCTGGGAGGCAGAGGCAGATAGATCTCTGTGAGTTTGAGGCCGGTCTGGTCTACATAACCAGTTCTAGGACAGCCAGAGCTACGTAGTGAGAGCCTTTCTCTAAAATATACAATACGAGACTTACACATTGATTTTGATTTTTTTTTTTTTTTAATTACTGTGTGTGTTTGTATGGGTGTATGTGTGCCAAACATGGTACATGTGTGGAGGTGAGAGGACAACTTTTGGGTGTTGGTTCTCTCCTTCCACTGGATTCTAAGGATTGAACTCAGGTTATTAGGCTTGCACAGTAAGCTCTTTTACCTACCAAGCCTTCTTGCTGGCTCTTGCTTTTTGAGAGGTGGTCTTTCTCTGAGATAATCTAAGCTAGTCCCAGACTCACTATGTAGCCCAGGTTGACCTTGAACTGATGGTAATCCTGCTGTTTGTGCTTCCTGAGTGCTGAGGTTACACCTTGAGCCACCATGCCTGGCTGGAATTTACACGTTTGAAAGAGAAATGAAAATATATTTGCTTGATGTTTCTGGGCAATGATGAATTAGAACAAGTGTCCAGAGTGTTCTGTGATGACTTCTGAGTGTTTGGACAGTAAAGGATTGTTTGGATTTTAAATTGACCCAATTTTGGAAGCTTCATAGATCTCTTTCTGTAAACAGTTCCAATTTCGACATACAAGTTAGCAAATATAAATGTGGAAACAAAGTCCATTAAACTTTCTTCAGACTTGGTTTGTAGCTTTAGCTGTCAAAATTAGATGTTGCCATTTGCTGACTCCTTTTAATCCCTTATTACAAAAAAAAAATGTGTTTTCTTTCTGAGTACAATGAAAATAACTGCTTTTCTTGTGGTACTGTACTAAGATCATTTATCCCTTGTGAAAATAGGAGAGAGTGTTTGAGGAAGTGGCACTGTCTGGATGAGATGGTGTTAACTAACTACTTCATGAAGTCTTGACTTTGTCTGTTCTCTTGTACTTCTAATTGTTTAAGTTGTGCTTTTCCCTCTGTTGAAAATAGGCAAAGTGTAGGACTGGAGAGATGGCTCAGTGGCTAAGAGTACCAGTTGCTTTTGCAGAGGACCTGGGTTCAAATCCCAACACCCACATGGTGGCTAACAACCATCTGTAACTCCAGTTCCAGGAGATCTGATGTCCTCTTCTGACCTCCGTAGGCACTGCGTGACATGCAGTGCACCTATAGACTCATACACATAAAATAAAAATAATAAATAAAATATCTTTTTTAAAAAAGAAATCGGTAAAGCACATCTCAGGCAAGTCCTGGGGAGCATCTATAATAATCTTTGTTTTGCTAGGAGCTGCTAGCCTACTATTTCAGCCCTGCTTAGACTGCTCTGCAGCTTCCTCCACCCCTCTGGATCCCTACATCTTGATTTATAGAGCTTGTCAAAGCTAGTTATTTCTGGTTTTCACGTGAGGAGAGATAAGAGCACTGGAGGCTAGACTCATGAATGTGGAAACAGGTTGCTTTGTGGCTTCTGCAGTCCTTCCTCATATTTGTCTTCACTTGTTTCCCTTTTTTATCCTTTCTTCCTTGAGAAAAATCATTTGTTTTTAAAAGATTATAAAAAATGCCTGGGTGTGGTGGTGCCCTCCTTTAATTCCTGCACTCAGGAGGCAGAGGCAGGTAGGTCTGTTGGGAGACCAGCCTGGTCTAAATAGTGAGTTCCAGGATGCCTGGGGCTAAAGGGAGACTATGTCTTTAAATTTTTTATTTATTTTATTTTATGTGTATGAGTGTTTTGCCTGCATGTGTGTCAGTGTACCACATGCATGCTTGTGCTCATGGAGGCCAGAAGAGAGTGTCAGATCCCCCTGGAACTAAAGTTACAGGCTTTTGTTGGCTGCCGTGTGGGTACTGGGAACCAAACCCAGGTCCTGTGTAAGAGCAACCAGTGCTCTTAACCCCTGAGCCATCTCTCCAGCCTCCTCATTTTTTAATTTGCAGGTATCACTCCTATCAGGAAGTCTTCATGGACCGTCCTTCACCCTGCTCTTTGCATTAACTGAGGGCTGTCTGCTTAAGCCCTATTCCACCAGGGGTCGTCCTGAATCTTCATTGTTGTATGTTGTCTGTTTCTTTTTTAAAATTCATTGTTTAGTTATTCATTTTTATTTTGTCTGGCTTTTTTTTTTATGCATATGAGTGTTTTGCTTTTGTGTATATAATTGCACTCTTGTAGGAAATGGCTGTGGAAGCCAGCAGAGGGTGTCTAGGGGAACAGGGATCCCCTGGAATTGGAGTTATGGATGGTTGTTAGCTGCCATGGAGGTGCTCAGAACTGAATGCAGGTCCTCTGCAAGAGGAGCTAGTGCTCTAACCATATCTCTCCAGTCCCTGTTAGTCCCTATTGTTGTCTCTTTCTATTTTTTTTGAGACAGGCTTCACTGTGTAGTCCTGGCTGGCCTGGAACTTGCTGTGTAGACCAGGCTGGCCTCAAACCGACAGAGATCCTCTTTTCTCTGCATCTTGAGTGCTGGGATTAAAGGGGTGCACCACCATGCCTGACTTATGGTATGTATGTACATATGTATGTATGTATTTATTTTGAGACAGGGTCTCACCATGCAGCCCTGGCCAGGCTGGAACTTTCTGTTAGACCAGGCTGGTCACCAACTCAGTGATCCTCCTGCCTCTACCTCAGGAGTGCTGAGATTAAAGGTGTGTGCCATCACATCCTGCTCATGGTTTTTATTTTATAATAGAGTTGGAGTTGATTAAGGAAGGGGTTTAATGAAGATTTCAGCATGGTTAACTAAGAGTAGGCAAGAATAGTGCACGTCCTAGAGTGAGTGTGGGATTCTCGAGAAAGTTGCCAGAATCATAGTTGTTAGAGGGCTGAGTGTGATTGCAGCATGCTACATTCCTGCCTCTTCTTGCCCCCGGCTTTTGCTGTCTTTATTACGTTCCTGCCTGGGAAGTGTTCCCAGTGACCTTAGTTAGGCATTAAGATCATGGGAATCCAAGATTTTCCCATGTCTTCCAGAATGTTTGTTCACAAGAGCTGGAAAATTTCCCCCTTGCAACTAGGGAATTTTAACTATTGTTAGTCACTGAGAAATCCTTCACTGAGAGTCTTTATTCTAATTTTGTCTTTATATTTATTTGTGTTTGTGTGATGTGTGTGTGTTAGACTACATAGCCAGTTTGAGGCTAGCCTGGGCTACATGAGACCCTGTGTTAAAACACTAAAAGAAAAAAAAAACAACTGGATGTAGTGTCACAAACCTTTAATCCCAGCATTTTGAAGACAAAGACAAATAGATCTCTATGAGTTCAAGGCCATCCTGGTCTATATAATGAGCTCCAGCCAGCTAGGGCTGTCAGTGAGACCTGCCTCAAAACCACACTGAATGAAAACAAACAAAAGGAAAATAAACAAAAAACACTGAATAATGAAAGTAGAAATGAGGGGTTGTGAAAAACTTAGAATGGGCATAATCAAGAGTCTTCTGCAGGTCAAAATGGAGAATGATCTACTTGGAAAGCAGTAGAGTGTTGTTTTGTAAGCAAGTAGAGACCTTACCCTGATTGCCATCTCTTATTTCCTAAAGCAGGTGGGCAAATGATCTAGAATCCATTATACTAGGTCAAGAGCTTCTGTTCCAGATCTAGCTCTGTCCTGTCCTTACATGACTGTGGACATTGGACAGTTACTGCATTTCTGATCTTTAACTTCTAAGTTGAGGACAGTCACTGATGCTTTGCCAGGTTACTAATGAGCATTCAAAATGATACAGATTTAGTACTTTCTACAACCTGGCATGAAATGAGCACTGCTGGTAACTTATGATCATGTGTTTGTTTTTAACCACAATTTTAGTATTGTTACGTGCTGTTAGGGTGAACCTTGCTTAATGCAATTGATCGTTACCTATAAACTGCAAAATATAGGTGTTGCCTGCAATTTCTTCAAATTTGAGAATATCAAGTTTCTACACTATTGCCTCAATCAGAATGTTGTTATAAAGATATTTGTGGGGGTGAAAAAAGTCAGACATGGTGGTGCATGCCCTTAATCCCAGCATTCACGAGGCAGAGGTAGGCAGATCTCTGTGAGATTGATGCTAACCTGGTCTCCATAGCAAGTCCAGACCACCTGGGGTTACAGGGAGAACCTGTCTCAAAAAGACCATATTTATGGGAATGGAGAGATAACTCAGTGATTAAGAACACTTGCTATTCTTCCAGAGGACCCTGATTTGATTCCCAGCACCCATATGGCAGCTAACAACTGGAGAGAGAGAGAGAGAGAGAGAGAGAGAGAGAGAGAGAGAGAGAGAGAGAGAGAGACCCACCCAGTGACTGAGTGACCATAGGAAGAAGTTCCATGGTATATATGATGATGTGGAGATGGCTTAGCAGTTGAGAGCACTGGCTGCTCTTGCAGAGGATTTGGGTTCAGTTCCCTGCCTACGAATGACAGCTAACAACTGTTCGTAACTCCCATTTCCAGGGTCACTGACACCCTCTTCTGACCTCCATGGGCATTGTAGGGCATGGATGTACTTAACTACATGCAGGCAGTACACTCACATGCATAAAATAAAAAACAGCTGGGCTTGGTGGTGCATGCCTGTAGTCCCAACACTTGGGAGGCAGAGGCAGGTGGATCTCTGTGATTTCAAGGCCAGCCTGGTCTACGTAGTGAGTTCCAGGCCAGCTGGGGCTACAGGGAAACCCTATTTCCAAAAAACAAACAAACACCCCCTCCCTCCCGCAATTCATTGTAACATATTTCTGAGACACTGTAAAACCCAGAAATACTTTCTGCATTACCCAGTTCATGGAGAAGCTAATAAAATGCTGGCCAAACCAATGGGCAGTAATAAAGGTTGGGTAATTCATTTCAAAGTGTGGGTACAGTAGTATAATTTAGAGATGATCAGTCTGCAGGCTGTCAGTGCATAGCAATGAGGAGGCAAGGTTTGGGGCACTGGCACAGTCCTCCTCTGGTAATGTAAATACTCTGACGAACAATTTTCACAGCGTGTCAAGAGCCCTTGACTCAGCAATTTTACCTTATGAATTATTTTAGGGAAAAATTATGTTTGTGTATAGAATTTTAGCTATAAGACTATTCTTCTGGAAGTATCTTTAAAGTCAAAATACTGGGAAAAGTCCAAAAACAAGACTTTAGCATACTTCATTAATTGATGGTATATGCCTAAATATATTGGCATGGAGAAATGCATAGAATGTGTGAAGTAGATTCAAAATGTGCTGGGATTACAGATATTTGACTATGATAATATTTTTAGACTAGTCTAGCTTTGAACTTTCAGTAATCCTCTGGCCATTGCCTCCTGGGTGGTGGGGTTGCAGGTGTGAGCTACTAGGCTTTGCTCAGTGTGTGTCTGTATTGGTGCTGCTGTCTTAAGACAGTCTCATAATCCTGGCTAACCTTGAACTTCCTCTTCCTGCCTCTGTCTCCTGCATGCTAGAATTATAGATGAGTCACCATACCTGGCGGCTCTAGCTCATTTTTTTTTTTTGGTCTTTTTGAAACAGGGTCTCCCTGTATCCCCAGCTGGCCTGGAACTTACTATGTAGAACAGGCTGGCCTTGAACTCACAGAGATCCACCTGCCTCTGCCTCCCAAGTGCTGGGACTACAGGCATTACAGGCATGCACCCCCACGCCTAGCTTTAGCTCAATTAAAAAAAAAATTATTATTTTTTTTATCTGTACGAGTGTATTGCCTGCATGTACGTGAGTGCACCCGTGTTGTGCAGTGCCGCGGAGGTCAGAAGAGGGCTTCCTATTCCCCTGGAACTGGAGTTAAGGATGGTTTATAGCTCTTTTTTTTTTGTCTTTTTAGAGCAGGATCTCCCTGTAGCCCTAGCTGTCCTGGAACTCACTATGTAGACCAGGCTGGCCTTGAACTCACAGAGATCTGCCTACCTCTGCCTCCCAAGTGCTGGGACTACAGGCTTGTACCACCACCCCTGGCTTGTAGCTCAATTTTTATAAAAGCTTTTTAGGTATATTTAATTTAAAATGAGCATGAATTTTATAAAATAAGTTTTTATAAAATAAAAGAGGTTATATAAAATAAGAGTTTAGCTGGGTATGGTGGTGCACACCAGTAACCCTAGCACTTGAGAGGGCAGAGGCAGGGAAATCTCTTGAGTTCAAAGCCAGTCTGCAACCTGGTCTACATAGGGAGTTCCAGACCAGTCAGGGCTACATAGTGAGACCCTGTCTTTAAAAAAAATAAAGATGCTTGGTGTGGTGGTACACACCTTTAATCCCAGCATTCAGGAGACACAGGCAGGCAGATCTCTGTCAGTCCAAGTCCAGCGTGGCCTACATAGCGAGTTCCAGCTGGGGCTACAGGGAGACCCTGTCTCAAAAAGACCAAAAAAAAAAAGTAAAGAGGTTTTTTTTTGTTTGTTTGTTTTTTGGGTCTTTTTTGAGACGGTGTCTCCCTGTAGCCCCACCTGTCCTGGAACTATGTAGACCAGGCTGGCCTTGAACTCACAGAGATCCACCTGCGTCTGCCTCCTGAGTGCTGGGATTAAAGGCATGCACTACAGAGGCTGGAGAGATGGCTCAGCAGTTAAGAGCACTGGCTCTTCTTACAGAGGACCCGTGTTTGGTTCCCAGCACCCACATGGCAGCTAACAGCAACCTGTAACCTCAGTTCTGGGGATCCAGTGCCCTCTTCTGACCTCCACAGGAATTGCATGACATGGGTGCACTTACATACATGTAGACAGTACATTCCTCCACACATAAAAATAAAAATAATAAAAAGAAAGTGTATTATTTATGTGTGTCTCCGCTCATACATGCCTGCCACAGCACATATATGGAGGTCAGAGGACAACTTGCAGTTGATTCTATCCTTTCATGTGGGTTCTGGGAATGGAGCTCAGGTCTTAAGGTTTGGCAGTAAGTGACTTTATCCACTGAGTCACCTTCTTGATCCTAAGAAAGGTATTCATTTAGTAAACATTTATGCAAATGATTATTGGTGTGTACTCCCTACCAAAATACAGAATTCCTTTCTTTCTCTCTTGTTCTTTTTCCTTCCTTCCTTCCTTCCTTCCTTCCTTCCTTCCTTCCTTCCTTCCTTCCTTCCTTCCTTCCTTCCCTCTTTCTTTCTCTCTTTTTTTGAGATAGGATCTTGCTGTATAGTCCTGGCTGTCTTCTAGCTTGCAACAATCCTCTTGCCTCTGCCTCCTGAGTGCTGAGATTCACAGGTCTGTGACACTATGCCTGTCTCAGAATGCTTTTAAGTATGTGCTGTTCCCTAAAGAGACTTCACTAGGTTTCATAGGCAAATTATTTATCAGTGAGTGTGACCTTCAGGCTGCTTTTCAGACTACTTTAAGCTCCTTTGTTACTTAGAGCTAGAGTCAGGAGGATATTCTAAATGTACTAGGTTTCTATAGGGTGGAAGGTGGTTCTACAGGGTAGGTATGGGGGTGGACCTATATTCTTGACATTTCTTTTACTTCTGCATTTTGAGGCTTTGATGTATATTGAAGTCATTTTCTTCCTGCCTAGGAATCTGTTTTTTTCTTCTCTCTCTCTTTTTTTCCCCAGTGTTAGGGATCAAACCCATGCTAGGTCTGTTGTCTATCACTGATTACACCTCCAGTTCAGGAATAGAATTTTCTGAAAGTATGTTTTAGGAAAGAAAACCTGTTCTTGGCAAAACTATGCTTCCCTCTTATAAGTATAAGGTGCTCTGCTAAGCTCTTTGTCAGATGGGGGAGGTATATACAATGACATTCCATTTTCATGTATGTAGTTAACTAATACTATATAAGTATTTTAATATGTCAATTATTTTAATGGAGATACAAAGAAAGCACTCTGTGCAAAACACTGCTTTGCAGATAGAGTAGTTTTATAATAACAGGTGAAAATGTGGAAAGTTTCTTCCAGATTTGAATTGGACTTTGATGAGGAAGATTTCTCTGGTATAGAAGTTAATGATGTGCTTGGAAATTAGGTTATTCAGGGCAGAGAGAGAATAAATAGGTGGAGGAAGGCTCAGAAATAAGAAAATGAAGATTGAGGAAAAACTAATAAACATCTAGCACAGTGTATGACATATTGTGGGTACTCATTAAACTTGGTCTCTTTTCTTTAAAAAAAGTTTTTTATACCAGGTGTGCTGGCACATGCCTTTAATCCCAGCACTTGGGAGGCAGAGGCAGGCTGATCTGTGAGTTTGAAGCCAGCCTGGTCTACATAGTGAATTCCAGACCAGCTGGGGCTACAGGGAGACCCTGTCTCAAAAAGACCAAAAAAAAAAAAGTTTTTACATCTGTTTATTTGTGTGGGTATGTGCATGATGAGCGTGTCATAGTTGTGTGTGTGCATGCGTGGGTGTGTGGTTTAGAGGACAACTCGCTGGAGTTCTCTCAGCCTGGCTTGGCATCAGGTGCCTTACCTGCTGAGTCATCTCACCAGTCCCAGACTTGGCCTCTTCCTAATCACAGCAAATTACTAAAAAGTAAAGCAACCCCTTACCCCAAACAACTAACTTTTCGGTTGATTTTACACAGTGAAGCATATTTTCCAGATGATATTCTGAACTGGAAATGTGGTTGTAAAACCAAAGTAATTGCTAGGGAATCAGTACTTTATATTAATGTGCAATCAAATTTCTGAACCATTTCTTTCCTCAAAAGGTGACTTGTTGAGAAAAGCTGTGCAGATTGGGAAGAGCCTGCGCCGCTGCACCGAGGGTGGGGCAATGTCACAAGTTACAGCTACTTACTCCTTTGATGCCCCCACTGACTTCATCAATTTTTCATCTTTGGATGCTGAGGAAGATACTGAAAATGTAGATTCATGGTTTGGTAAGTGTCTGCTTTCTCTGACGTTTTAGGGTTAGTGTCTTGCTTTGTGCTGCGGACCTTTTGAAAACAGAAGAGGCTGAAAAAAACAAAACAAAACAAAAACCAACCTGAATTCTTTTCTGCACCAAAACACCTTGTTATCCATGATTTAATAGAAAAAAAGTTGACTTTTGAACTGTATAGGTCTGCTTATATGTGGAATTTGGTTTTTTGAGATGAGGTTTCACACTGTAGCCCATGCTGGCCTGGAATTTTTTTTTTTTTTTTTTTGGTACTTTTGAGACAGGGTCTCCCTGTAGCCCCAGCTGTCCTGGAACTCACTATATAGACCAGGCTGGCCTTGAACTCACAGAGATCTGCCTGCCTTTGCCTCCCGAGTGCTGGGATTAAAGGTGTGTGCCACTACGCCTGGTTCTATATTTATATTTTTTTAAGAATTTATTTTTGGGGCTGGAGAGATGGCTCAGCAGTTAAGAGCACTGACTACTCCAGTTCCAGGAGATCAGACATCCTCTTCTGACCTCTGCAGGCATTGTGTGACAGGGGTTCACTTACATGCTTGCAGGCAATACAATCATATACTAAAAATAATAAAATATTTTTAAAAAATTTGTTTTCATTTTTATTTATATGTATGTACATGTGTCTGTGTGAATATATGCTGCTTGTGTGCAGGTGCTTACAAAGGCCAGAAGAAGGTGTTGGATCCCCTGGAGCTAGAGTTATAGGTGGTTGTGAGCTGCTTACTGTGGGTGCTAGGAACTGGACTTGGGTCCTCTGGAAAAAAATAATAAAATATTTTTAAAAAATTTGTTTTCATTTTTATTTATATGTATGTACATGTGTCTGTGTGAATATATGCTGCTTGTGTGCAGGTGCTTACAAAGGCCAGAAGAAGGTGTTGGATCCCCTGGAGCTAGAGTTATAGGTGGTTGTGAGCTGCTTACTGTGGGTGCTAGGAACTGGACTTGGGTCCTCTGGAAGAGCAGGAAGCTCTCTTAACTATAAGTCATCTCTCCAGCATTGCCCCCCACCCATTATTATTTTAAATTTATTATTATTTTTAATTTTAAAAATATTTTATTATTTTTATTTTATGTGTATGAGTGTATTGCTTGCATGTGCATGAGTGCACCCATATCGTGCAGTGCCTCGGAGGTCAGAAGAGGGCTTCGGATTCCCCTGGAACTGGAGTTAAGGATGTTTGTAGCCGCTGTGTGGGTGCTGGGAATCGAACGCGGGTCCTCTGCAAGAGCAGTCAGTGCTCTTAACTACTGAGCCATCTCTCCAGCCCCTAATTTATTATTTTTATATATAACCATATGAATAAATACAGTTTGGAAGAAAAAAATTAATTTCCATACTTATAAAACCACCTTAGTTCTAGTTTATTTCTTTCAGGTAATCACATCTTTTCGCAGAGCTGCAGTGTACATGTACCATGTAGTTATTCTGGGGCTTACTACATTCCTGACGCTCTTTCAGTAGCTGTTGGTGGAGCAGATTGTTCACTGCTTTGCACTGACTTTCAGGAACAGCAGTACCCAAGATAAAACTCCTTGAGAGAACTGAGCTGTGCTCTACTCTCACACACCCATACTTTTATCTCACCATCCCAGTTGAGGGAGAGTCACTGTGAATATAAGATGTCCCTTGTAATCTGATAGTTCTGGTAGTTACAGTTTTCTTTAAGAGGAACATGATGTATTTAAATGGTAGATAAAGCCAGATAATGTTTGTATGACTGTGTATCATCACAAAATAGAGTCGTTCCCAGTACAGAATCTGCACTTTACCTTTTCTGTGCTATATTGTTCAGTGTTGCAAGTGTTTTTAGTGATAGATTTTTGCTGTCCGTCTCTGAGTATATGTGCTCCTTTTAGCTGCTAGAATTTTGTTTTTGCTAAATAAGTTGCAGGAATGCTGGGTTTGCTCCTCATTTTCAGTAAGTGTGCGGTGCTCATTTGCTCTACTTCCTTACTGATTATTCCACAGAGGAGAAGGCTAATTTGGAGAATAAGTTTCTTGGAAAGAATGGACTAGGAGAGCTTTTTCAGGGCAAAACTTCCTTGAGAAAAGCTAAACTTCAGGAAGGCTGTGTCACACCTTTGAAACAAGGTAAGAAAAACAACGTAGATGGCTCCTTGGTGGCAGTCAGTGTATTAGGAGCTGAGAATCTGGGAAATGACCTAGATGCTGCATTTCTTGATTGCTAGTGAAATGGACAAATTCATTTCATGGTGACTATATAACAGATCACATCCTCCTTTTTTTTTTTTTTGGTCTCTGTGGGGCTCGGACTGGGCCTACACTTAGGGCCCTCTTGCCACCACCTCTTGAGTGCCGCAGTTGTAGGCTTGCACTACCATGCGTGCCTGTATTTCTCTTTTTAGGTTTCTTTTGCTAATTTTTTTCTCCCTCCTTCCCCCCGTGCCAAAGATTGAACCTAGGCTCTTATACATGCTTGCTAAGTGATCGACCACTAAGCTGTATTTGTAACCCTAGTTTGTTAAATTTTTGAAAGAATTTTGCATTAAGGTTCATGAGGGATCTTGGTGTGTGGTTTTCCTTTTTTGTGATATCTTTATTGATTTTGTTTGTTTTATTTTTTACTATGTTGGAGATTGATCCTGGGGTCTTAAGCTTGGTAGGTAAGTGCTCTACCACCGAGCTACGTCCTAGCCCTTAGGTTTTGGATAGGATCCTTACATCAGCCCCGAGTGCTGGGATTGTACATGTAGGTCACTAGGACCAGCTTTAAAAAAAAAAAAATCTTAAATTGATGCATAATTTTGCATATTTATTGGGTATAGTATGATAATTTGATATATGTATATAATATCTAAAAAAATCACTTCTATGCTGGGTGTGGTGGTGTACGCCTGTAGTCCCAGCACTTGGGAGGCAGAGGCAGGTGGATCTCTGTGAGTTCAAGGCCAGCCTGGTGGCCAGCCTGGTCTACATAGTGAGTTCCAGGACAACTGGGGCTACAGGGAGACCCTGTCTCAAAAAAAAAAAAAAAAAATCGCTTCTATAACCGGGCCTTCTGAATAATTTCACTTGAATTAAGGATTCCATTGCTTAGGAATTGGGGTGGGGTGTGGGGGTGTGTGTGAGAGAGTTTAATTTAGAATTTTGTATTGTCACACACATATACATGTAAACACACACACATGTATACACACATATATAATTTCTGTTTTCCTTGGGATAGAAGTGCTGACTAATTTTTTTCCCCAGTTTTTGTGGGAGCTATTTTTTTGTTGTTTTCTTTTAAGACAGGGTTGCCCTGTAGTCCCAGCAGACCTGGAATTCACTGTGTAGACCAGGCTGGCCTTGAACTCACAGAGATCCACCTGGCTTTGCCTCCTAGGTGCTGGGATTAAAGACAGGAGCCACTATGCCCAGCCTATGGGGGCTATTTTTAAATATTACTATTTTATTAACTGAGAATTTTGTACATGCATATAATGTGTTTTAATCAAATCCATTCATACTCCCTCCCCTCCAGTTCCTCCTCTATTCCCTCCACCACTATTCCCTCCAATTTCATGGGCTCCTTTTTACGCACAGAGTCGGCTCAGTGCTGCCAGTATGTGCATGGCTGTAGGCCATCTGCCAGAGCATGGCAGCCTCTCTGGTGCATCCCTGGCAAAAACTGACTCCTCTTCTCCCAGCAGCCATCAGTTGCCAATAGCTCCTTAGCTAGGGGTGGGCTATTGTGACCCCCTTTCCCTCATCTTTGATGGGATTTTGTTTGACTTGATCTTGGGTAGGTCTTACATATGCAGTCACGGTCCTGTGAGTCTATATGTGCAACTGCCCTGCCACACTGTTCTCCTGTAGTCATCCACTACCTCTGGCTCTTGCCGCCCCCTCCTTTTTTTCTTTTTAAAATGTTTTTATTTAGTACTTTTTGTGTATGAGTGTATTGCCTGCATATGTGTAAGTGCACCCGTGTCATGCAGTGCCTGTGTAGGTCAGAAGGTGTCAGATCCCCTGGAACTGGAGTTATCCCTGGAGCTGGAGTTATGGGTGGTTGTTAGCCGCCTTGTGGGTGCTGGGAATCAAACCTGGGTCCTCTGCAAAAGCAGTCAGTACTTTTAACTGCTGAGCCATCTCTTGAGCCCTTTACCCCCTCTTCTGAAATGATCCCTGAGTCTTGGTTGAAAGAGGTGTGGTATACATGTTCCATTTATGACTGAGCACTCTGCAGTCTCTTATTCTCTGCACTTTTCTCTGTTAATCACTACTACTGCAAAAAGAAGTTTCTCTGATGAAGTTTAGAGATGCACTAATCTCTGGGTATAAAGATAAGTACTTAGGGGGCAGTTTAATACTAGGTCCATTTAGCAGAATAAGATGAGTAAGTTCTCCCCTGGGGTCTGTGACCTTCCCAGTCACAACCTTTTTGTCCTGTCAGTGGTGCCAGCCATGAGTTCTGTCTTGTGGAGTGGTCCTTAAATCCAATCAGAAAGTGGTTGGTTACTCCCATAACTTCTGTTCCGCTATTACGTTAGTGGGCATCTTTCCAGCCCCATGGCATTGGGCTTTTTTATTTGGTAGCCTGTGGTGTCTGGGAGAAAATTGTCATCCCCTCGCCCCCAACCTGTTATCAGATAACTCCATTTAAATGTGTGTGTATATGTATAGATTTTAGGAAGCTTCTACACTAGTCTGACTTGTTTTTGGTCTTTCCTAGTTGATAACACTTACTATCAAGAGACAGAAAAAGAAAATCTTCAGAAACATTCTATCTCATCAAATGCTTGTTCTTCCCTGGATGCTGAAGGCACCGTGTCAAGAAATACGCGGGTAGTCCAGCCTCAGAGGTAATACTGTTTGGCGGCTCAGAAGTTGTGGGTATTAAGAATACTGTTCAAAAAATATAGTAACTCAATTAAACACCTTTTCTGTGTATTGTTAGACTCTGTTATTTCATATAACAGTTAAGAATTGTAGTTTTTAGGTTTAACTTCTAGATAAGGGCTCATAGATGCTAAATTGCTTGCTTAAGGCAAGTTCATTTCAAAGCCAGGATTCAAACTTATGAGTCTGAATTTAAAAACTCTGGATGGATAGAATTATTAATGCTTTTCTGATGTCAAGAAATGCCTTTCTTTGATCCTTAGCATTACTTATGCCTTCTCTTGGTTATGTTTGTATTGTATCTTTTTCTGTCCTTTTACTTTCATCTCCTTTTAATTAAATTTTTTTATATGTATGAGTGTTTTGCCTGCCTATATATGTGTATCCATGTGTGCAATGTCGGTGGAGGCCAGAAGAGGGTGTCGGATCCCCTGGAACTGGAATTACAGATGGTTGTAGCCTCCATGTAGGTGCTGGGAACAAAGTGGGTCTTCTGCAAGAGCAGCCAGTGCTCTTAACCACTGAACCATCTCTCCAGTCTGCTACCCAACTTTTTTTTTTTTTGAGACACTCTTACTATATAACCCTTACTGGTCTGGGACTCAAAGAGATCCACCTGCCTCTGCCTCCCAAGTGCTGGAATGAAAGGTGTGTTCCACTATGCTCAGCTTTTCATCCTATTTTTGCCTTTTATTTTTGTTTAATCTTTTTTGTGTTGCTGGGAATTGAACCCAGGATCTTGTGTGTGGTAAGCTCATGTTCCACTTCTGAACTACATGCCCAGCCCTACTGTTTTAAAGCAATTACATTTATTTTTATTTTTAAAATATTTTATTTATTTTTATTTTATGTATATGAGTATATTGCCTGCATGTTTGTGAGTGTACCTGTGCCATTCAGTACTGTGGAAGTTATGGAGTTAAGGACAGTTCGTAGCCGCCATGTGGGTGCTGGGAATAGAACCCGAGTCCTCTGCAAGAGCAGTCAGTGCTCTTAACTGCTGAGCCATCTCTCCAGCCCCAACATTTATTTTTATTTTTATTGTGTGTATGTGTGTGTGTGTATGTACTACCATGATGAGCCTGTTTTGTTTTTTTTAGAAATCAGTTTTATTGAGATCTAATTTGCAAACCACCAATATATTTAAATACCACAATTTTATGTTTGAAAATATCAAATTTTCACAAACACTAGATTTCTGAAGTGTTGGTATTAAACTTTTTATGATCTTATAGCTTAACATACTTTTACTGTCAGAAGAAAATTTGCATATCTGTAGTAAATTTATTTGTTATAATATAAATTTTGTCATTTCCATCATAGAAGGTCTGTTAGACTCTCTGCTCAGAAGGCTTTGGAACAGAAAGCAAAACATCATGTTGAAATGAAAGCAAAGAGATGTGCCACTCCTGTAACCGCTAGTGAAATTCCACCTTCCAAAAAAATGAAAGTGTAAGTAGTCACAGCTTCTTAGTACCAAGGGCAGTATAGACTGTTGTTTGTAGACCACCCACATATAAGGTAGTCTTCTTTCCTGAACTGAAAGCTTTGAGTTAACAAAGTAAAATCACCAGTCTTTTTGATGTATCTGGAAACTCCTAAAGCTGTGGCTGTGATCATTTGAGTTGTTACTTATGTTCTGGAAGGTGCTCAATCTTAGTAAGTATAGGTTTGACCTCTCGCTAAGACCAGCCAGAATATATGGTATTCTGATTCTTTTTTATCAGGAATGTGTTTTGCTGCAAGGAATGGTCTATTTAACTGGAGTGTGTAGATAGTAATATTTATTTATTTAATGTCTTTTTTTTATTTTTTGGCTTTTTGAGACAGGGTATCCCTGTAGCCCCAGCTGGCTTCTAACTCAGAAATCTACCTGCCTCTGCCTCCCAAGTGCTGGGATTAAAGGTGTGTACCACCATGCCCAGCAGATAATATTTATGTACTTCACAGAAGTACGTAATTAGTTTGCCAAAACTAGTTTGCCACTAACTTTGGTTCAGTGGCTGAACATTGCCAGGTCTAGCATCTCTGTGGTTCATAGCTTTTGTTTTTTCCTCTGTACTTATTGCTTAAGATAGCAGACCTATTGTTTCTTAGGTTTTTTATTTTGCTGTTATTTCATCACAAGATAATTGATGTATATCGAGGAATTGTATCCATGTTCAAGGGAGAGTATGTTGTAAAGAAACAAGGGTAGCAGTCACATCAGGAAAGTGTGGCCTTTCCCAGAAATTGTATCGTAAATTATATCTTAGTTTCTCAGGCTGTTACCTGGGTCTCCTAGTTGTAGGAGAGGCTGTGTAAGCAAGTACAATACCTAACTTGTAGCTGGGTACATTGCTGCTGCCCCAGAGTTGGGGCTCTATTGTTAGAAACAGATGGAGTAGTTGTCAGGAAGGCTGTCAGCTGTCTGCTGTTTTTTCATTTGATGACAGAATCCCTCTGTATTCCGAAGCACCACTGGATAACTCACCTGTCCTCAGTGGGCCTTTCCACAGTTAACCTATTGATCACAGCTCCTATTGGAGTTGCTGTTATATATGATCTGCTGATGCAATGGAAGAATCTTACAGCTGAAGCATGATTGCTATCATTAAGATGAGAATGTCTAAACCACATGAGATTAGAGAAGCAGATGGTATGGGATATGCTTTAGGAAATTGAAAGTAAATTTTTTAATTTTTTCATTTTGAACCCAAGATCTCATAAAAAGAAACCAGAGGAAGATGAAGAAGGTAGTGCTCAAGATATATCCAGAAAGAATGAAAGAGAAAGCCCGGAGAAAGTCAAGGGCAAACATGCTGTGCCTGTTGTACCACCTGCAAGGTCAGTTTCCTTTCCTAGTGTAAATTTTAGAGTAAATAGATCAATTATAAATAGGTCCGTCCAGTCGGGTGTGGTGGCACAGGCCTGTAGTCCCAGCACTTGGGAGGCAAAGGCCGGCAGATCTCTGTGAGTTCAAGGCCAGCCTGGTCTACATAGTGGGTTCCAGGCCAGCTGGGGCTACAACAGGGAGACTGTCTCAAAAAGACCAAAAAAAAAAAGTCCATTTGTAGGTGTTTGGTATATCTCCCATTTGGGAGCTGAATTGTTACCTGTGACCTGAAGGGTGCTGAAATGTTAAGTAATGGGAAAAATACGCTAAATATGAAGGAAAAGATTAGTATAAGGTTTTTTTTTTTTTTTTTTTCGGTCTTTTTGAAACAGGGTCTCCCTATAGTGCCAGCTGGCCTGGAACTCACTATGTAGACCAGGCTGGCCTTGAACTCACAGAGATCCTCCTGCCTCTGCCTCCTGAGTGCTGGGACTATAGACGTGCACCACCATGCCTGGCTAAGTTCTTTTTATAATAAAAAATTTTATTGAAGGCAGATGTGGTGGCGCATGCCTGTAATCTGAGCACTTGGGAGGCAGAGGTGGGCGGATCTCTGTGAGTTTGAGGCCAGCCTGGTCTACATAGCAAGTTGTTCTATGTTCATGAGCCTTAGGTGTAGAGGTTGCATCCTACATTTGCACTTAGACTTGAGCAATTTACAGTGTCTGTGTGTGACCAGTTGTGGAACTCTGTAATAATCCCTGTCTGTTGAAAAAGAAGCTTCTTTGATAGGTGGTGATTGGGATACTTGTCTGTAAATTTAAGAATCCATATTTTGCACACAGTAAGAAATTACATTTACTTACTGTCACATCTAGGGATGTGACAACCTTGGGGTTTTCTCTAAGATCTGTGACCACTCCAGCTATGTGTATTTGGCTAGGTTTACAGTACCACACATGAGTTTCTTCCCATTGAGTAGGCTTTAAGTGCAATTAGGTAGCTGTTGATTGCCCCCAAGATAAAAGTGCCACTACTGCCCCAATATAGCTTGCTGTGCCAGTCATTAATGTGGTTATTAGGCCTTGAAGTTGGGGTTGGATCATCGATTGATAGTCTCCCTTAGCAGCTTGCATAGTGCTCTCCAAAGCTATGAGAGCTAGCCTTCAGAGGAGGTGGCTTCCAGGTCAGTTCCAGCTCCATGGCTCCAAATCCTGTGTCTGAGATACATTTGGTGGGCGTAGTTAACTGGAGATTGATCCCCAGGGCTTTGTGCATGCTAGGCAGCTGTTTTATCAACAGCCTCAGCCTCTTACTTGCCTTTTATTATAACTTCACGTTGCTTCAAATTTAGTTGATAGCATCAAATTACATTTTAAGATTTATAAATTGACAGATTATATATATATATATATA